AGTGACATGTTACTTTTATCACAAACATTTAAATTTTGGAACTGGCCAAAACTAACCTTAAAAAAGTAATACTTAGCTACAGCTGTAAAGAAGCTATCACCCTTGAGAAGACCTATATGTCCAGGTTAGTTCTTGGACCCTCAGCCAAAGAAAATGAAGAGACAAAATTTAACAAAGTTGATGGTCAGTATTGGTGTCCTTCCCAATTAGAAGAAGGGTTAATCTGCTCTCAAGCTCAGTACCACTTACCTAGTCAGAACTTGTCTGGGTTTCCATACCATGAAGCAATTAGGGTATTGTTGCTTCACTTGGAAGGAGTGGTTATCCATTACAGGTTACCTACCTCCCCCAGCTTTTTACCAGTTTCCTAAGAAAGTTTGCTGGTGCCAATTTATACCCGGGGGGGGGGAGAGGCACTGTAATAGTGGAGAGCCTTCCCCCAAGAACACAACACAGCGACTTGGCCCAGGATTGATTCTAGATTTGTAATCTTACCGTCTGCACTGTGACAGTCCAGATACACTTCTGCTCTTCTCAACAGTTGGCTTCTAGAGATTATGATTAAAATGGGCTTATTTTAATTCTCAGGTTTTACTGTATTGATTTTGACCTTCCAAATCTGGTGATTTCCATCAAAGATCCAAGGCCTGTCAAAAGAGAAGATAAAAAATGGGGTCATCGTAGGATAGCAATGGAAGGTATTCTTATCATTTCAGATGTGATGTAATGATGTATAAATGTAATAATTTATTTATTGTTGATGACGTGGTAAGTGGTCGTCCCATTTTCTGAGCAAAAAGGGTCATGTATAAAACACACGACAAGAAAAAACAAAGAAATAAGTAAGAATATTATTAAAAAATAAAACGCAATCCATATAAGATAATATATAAAAATTAATATGTGAGGATCCGAATAGGTATAGGTAATCGCATGGGGCCGAGTAAAATTAAGGATTAATATCACGCGTGTTTTCGGAAGTTGCTGAAATTGCCCGAGTCGCGGAGCAACGAGGGCAATTTCTGCAACTTCCGAAAACACAAGTGATATTAATCTTTAATTTTACGAGGAACCATGTGATTACTTGTTTATAATATAAGGGGCAAAATGTTTTCTTACTGATCTCGCGCAAAACGGGACGCCATTGTTACAAAACAAA